CATTAATATGTCAGCAACTGGGAGCTTAGAAATTGTATATAGTTTTTAAAGCTTCCTGATAAGTCTGCCAAGCACCTCAGACCAAGAACTCCTCAGTAGGGGGACAGGCAACCTGCTCACACCGTTCCAAGAAAACATCTCTTGTTATCATACAGCTTTTTCCTAAACATCTGTTTTTCTTTGCATTTGATTTAACTGAAAGTGCTGTTCAAGAGATTTCCCTAGAACAAAGAAATGGTCTCCACTTAAAGGCAAATTTCAGTTTTGATTTCTACAGAATCTTGAAACTACAGGACGTTCTGATACTACAAGGTTACACACACACACACACACACACACACACACACTCACATATTCATAGGACACACTTCATTACACATATATGTATAGCTTATCTCCCCTATAAATTTATGAGCCATAAATAATTTTTAGGGCAATTGGCTTGAACTGTCTTTTCTGGGATTTGCATTATAAGAGGTTTTCACTATTTAATTTCAACAACAAGAAAAGTATGGCTGCAGCCCTTCTGCTTAACAAATAAGTTTGTCCTGGGGCCAGAGGCTTTAGAAATCCTTAACAACCAGTCTGTACGATTAATTCAGGAAAACATAGTGCCTGATTTGCCCAGCTTTGCTCAGAGTTTTTTTTTTTTTCATTTCTCTCTCTTAATTTAAAAATAAAAGCCCTTTCTCTGCCAACTGAAATGTTATAATTGCCGTTACCATTCATCCATCGCCCCTATGTGATTTCTCATAGAACACAGCAGCAAAAAACCTGAGACCATGGAACCTGAGGCCTTAAAGTTTAGAAGAGTGAGTTTGGGGTTTTGTCCTGGGTATTTTGGGTCTGTAAGTTTAACTATTCCACACCCAAATTCACTTGCTGTTCTTAGTCCTTGTTCTTTTGCTGATCATCTGAGAAACCTTGGCGATGAGAATGGCCGAACTTCAAAATCGCATGTCTAGGGAAATCCAAATGATTGGATGGCCCAGCCTCAGGCAGATGAAGTCTCATGCACCCGCATTTTACAGATGAAGCAACTGAAGCCAAGAAGCTCCTGACTTGTTCAACAGTGCAGTGTGGAGGAGGGGCTAGAACTCAGAACATCTGGCTCCTCAGAGGGTGCCCTTTCCATTAGAATCCAGTGGTCTACATCCTTCCTATGCATAAAAATCACCTGGGCAACAGCGCTTGGCTGGGGGGGATGGTGACCAGCAAAGTCCCTCCCCCATGACATATTTCCATGTAAGCTTGCTTTCAAGCCAAATCTCCTACCTTCCCCTTCCAATAAAATTGCTGCTCCTAGTCACCTCCCATATAAAAATTCTGGAATATGAATAGTACCATATACTAACATTAATTTATAGTTGTTAAAATGCAAGTTTCTAGGCCTCCAATCTGGAGTGTCCGATTCCATAGGTGTGGGGGGAAGTGTATGAACTTGCATTACGACATGCCCCCCTCCACCCTCCAGCACGGTCCTGCGGTCCATGGAGCAGTTTGAGAAGCTGCTCCAGAGCCGCCATGTTAGCTGTGGGCTTCTGGAGTCCACTATGCCTTAACTCGGAGAAGCACCTCTCCTCTTGTCAAATATAACAACTCGAGGCAGATTGCCAGGGAACATGTCATGAGGAAAGAGTTTCTTCAGCAGCTCCCACTCTGACGGGGAACAACCTTCTTTAATCAGCTAACAGGTTGGGTCTTTTGAGAAATGTGGAAGGAACTAAGGCATTTATTTAAAGGTGTCCAAAGAAATCTGAGTAGAGAGCTTGAACTCCTCAGCGGAGAAGGCTCTGAGGGCAGGGAGTGTAAAACAAGGTACAGGGAGGAGAAGAGTTAGTGGAAAGTATATAGAACGTCCTTGGAATTTAGCTTTGATCTTGAGGAAAACTGGCAGCTGGGTTTCACCAAACAATACAGCTACTGTTTCCTTGAACTTTCACCTACATTAATGAAGAATCTGGGTCAAGTTTTCCACAAGTTCTTCCTCATTTTATTTTTAATTTTTTTAGTAACTGCTTTATTGAGATATAACTCAGATACCATACATACAATTCACCCATTTAAAGTGTACAATTTAATGGCTTTTAGTCCATTCAGAGAGTTGTGTAATCATTAACACAGTTTTGGAATAGTTTTTATCACCTTAAAAAGAAACCTCATGTGCTTCAGTTATCACCCCCAATCTCCCCATTTCTCCAGTCCTAAACAACCACTAAGCTTTTTGTCACCATGAATTTGTCTATTCTAGACATTTCATATAAATGGAATTACATAATATGAGGTCTTTTGTGACTGGCTTCTTTCACTTAGCATAATGTTTTTGAGGTTCTTCCATGTTGTAGCATGTATGTGTACTTGATTCCTTTTTTACTGACAAAAATATTTCATTGGATCGATATTCTACATTTTGTTTATCCGTTCATACAGTTGGTTGACACTTGGGTTGCCTCTCCCTTTTTGGCTATGGTGAATAATATTGCTATTTGTGTACGAGTTTTGGTGTGGATATATGTTTTCATTTCTTTTGGGTATATACCTAGGAGTGGAATTACTGGGTCAAATGATAAATCTATGTTTAACTTTTTGAGGAATTGTCAGACTGTTTCCCAAGTCCTCATTTTATTTTTTCAAGTTGACCTGAACAATGGCTCTGATTCATCCTATAATAGCTTAGTTACATAGAGCTTGACCAGGTATAACTAAAGACTTCTTGTAAGCACTGTTTGGGGAATGCAAAGAATCAAGCTTGGTTTACAAAAATCCCAAGACCAAATACTTGAGGGTGTCATTTGACAACCTTAAAGGTCGGGCAATGTTACACGATTCCTGTTTATGGTAAGTAGAAAAAGAAACTCATAGCTATAAATGTGGCCGGTAAAAAAAAAAAAAAAAAAAGCACAACAACCCTTAATTAGTAGCTTTGGAAAAGGTTTAATGATCTTATAAAATGAGTAAAGCTGTTAGATAAAACCATCTATGGATTTCAGTTCAAACATCTGCTATCATTTGTTTCTGCATAGGGAAAAAGACTTGAAAAAATTTACAAGTACTTAGAAATACTTTAAAGTATTTGAGTATGAAATACAGAGACATGCACAAATCGTAAGTGTAACTCCATGAATTTCCACAACATGAACCTCACCCATGTAATTAGCACCCACATCAAGAAACATCATCACCAGCAACCCTCAAAACTCCTTTTCCGGACATAACCATCCCCAAGGGATGTAGGATATCCTGACTTCTAATACCAACATTCTTAGACACAAATACATTTTTAATAGTAAGTTTCAGGTGTCAAGGACTAGCTAATGGAATAGATTTGTTTAGCTGGGAGAATTTCTTAAGACTCAGTCAGACTTGCTACCTTGCATGGTGTAATACATTCTTAAAAATTAAATACCTTTAAGCTTGTATACAAAATAAAGGGTATGACCTCAGAACCCAAGAAGCTTTTAATTTAACATCATCGGCAACTTAAGAGCATATCCTATAATTTGTTTTTTAAAGAGCATGAAACAGTAGACTTTAAACATTTATTTTAAAAGACATCTTCTTTCCCCTCCAGAATTTGAAGTTTATTTCTGACAGCAGTCTGTAAAGGAAGTCCCAGGGACCATTAATCACAGGAGCTTTAATAATTTAAAAAGTGTATATATAAATGCACGCATATTGGCAATACATCACATCGTAGGTTGAAGTAATTACCAAAATAAATATAGCCTTCACAAGCAAAGCATAAAAACTGATACACGGTTTATGGGGCAGGAGGATGTAGCCCCACCTTACCGATAAGACAAGCTTTCTAATGCCAGAACTAACTGACGCTGCTCTGGTTCTTATCTGGAAACAATCCATTATAATTATTTTATGTATGACACTTTGCTCGCATTAGAATTCTCATGAGGTGAAAAGGTAATACTATTAGGGGAAATCATTTTGCAAAGGCGGATCATTTTCCTTTTTTTGAAAAAGCTCTAAAGATGTCTCAAATTACCAAAGTAGATTAGGATTTTATTAGGATATTTCCTTGGAAGCTTCGGATTCTGTGTTCCACCAGGTAGCTCATGAGTCAAAGCGAGGAAGATTGAGAGTGTGTAACCCTTGACAGGCGCTTGGGGCTGCCCCGGGTACTTTCTTTTTGTATGGATGCTGGATACTTCCAAGGTAACCTCGTCGTCTCATTCTCCCTCCGACAGGGGAGCCGGGAAAGCACCCGGCCCGCCCCACCTCCTACGGACAGCCGGGCCGCAGCGCAGTCAGCGCCCGGAAGCCCACGCGGATGCGGTGTAGGCAGGTCCCGCGCCGCTCGAGCGGTAACTTCGCTGGGCCTCGTCCTTCCCGAAGTCCTTGGCTTACACTTCTTCCCTTCGAGTCGCCCCACAGCCCCTCCTCCTGGCATCCCCTTCTCTGGAGGCGGGCGGGGTGGGGGCAAAAGTTTAAAGCCGGGCTCCCTTCTCAGTAAAGCTCGCCGGGGTCCCTCTCTCGGCTGGACCGTAAGGGGGCCGAGGGGCCACAGTGCTTTCCTTGCGCTCCTCTCCAGCCCCAGCGCGGCGGGTGGGGACAGACTCTTAGACTGTCGGCGGCCAGCTCCGACGCGCCCTGGTCGCGGAATCCCTCCCAGTCCGAGGGACTTATTTAAAAATTTGGAGTAGGGCACCCTTCCTGGACCCCAGGAAGCGGGCGCAGGTCCGGCGGTGACCCCGAAGGCTGAGGCGCACTTGCCCGCCGCGCAGCGCGAGCACAGGGTGCGCGTGGGTGAGCGCGAGGGTGCGCCCGGGGCCAGCTGGAGGCGGACCCGCCGGGCGGCAGTTGGGTGCGGCCGCTGCGAGCCGGGGCAGCGGCGGCGGCGGCGGCAGCAAGTGGTTGGGCGGTGCGCATTTCCTTCCCTCCCCCTCGGCCTCGGCGCCCGCCCGCGGTGCCCAGTGTGCGGCGCCCTCGGCTGCGCTCCGCGTACCCTCCTCGCCGCCGCCGGCCGCTCCCTTCCCCGCCGGTCCATGTCCCTGCCTGTGGTGCTCCCGGGATCGTGCTGCCCCGTGGCTGGGCTTTCTGGCGGGCCCCAGACTGGGGGCCCGGGCGCCGCGGCCGCCGCCGCCCAGGAACCGCCGCTGCCCCCGCTGCGGCCGCGCTGGCCCCGGGGCGCGTTGCAGCCCCCGGCGCGGCCTCGCTGCGCGGCCCCTGCCGCCGCCGCCGGGGTGCTGGCCGCGCCGTCCGCGCTCTCCTCCCGCCGAGCAGCCGCCGCCGCCGCAGCCGCGGCCCCGGGCTCCGCGCTGCTGCCTGCCCGCCCGCTGCTGTCGCTCGGGCTGCTGCAGCTGATCCTGGGCTGCTGCATGGTAGCGCTCAGCTTCGGGGCGCTGTCGCTGAGCAGCTCCCCGCAGGTGAAGAACTCTTGTCCGTTCTGGGCCGGCTCCTCGGTGAGTACAGCGCGCGCGCGCCCCGCGCTCAGGGCCCACCCGGGGCCAGGGACATCTGGCCAGTCTCCTCCATTGCCCCGTGGTTGGCCTCCAGGGCTGCAGTTGGGGAGCACAGCCCCTCAGCCACTTGAAGTTTCTGGAGGCGTTGAGGCTGGAGAAAAATGTTCCAAGACAATGGAGTTCAGGGGTGAATTGGGTTGCACCTGGGCAGTGTCTATTCCTCCCAGCTAAAGGGTTTTATTGTCCCTGTCAAGCTCGTAGAATAAAACAAAGATATCTGGCTCTTTGGGAGATTGGAAAGATGGGGTGGGTGGCAGAAAAGTGGGAGGAAAATGATTAAACTTCTTTTGGCCACTGAGTATTTAGTGAACTGACAACGTTTATGCCTGGGGGGCAGGGATTTTGATCTGTTTTGTCCACTGATGTATCAAGAGGACCTGGCACATAGTAGGTGTACTTGCAGGATAGATGAAGTGACAGGTTGACTGGGGCATGTCACTTGTTTTATTCTGCATCTAGGACACAAGTAAATGTGAAATGCCTAGGGTGGCTCGACCCCCAGACGAGTTCAGGAGGTAATGAGAGGGTGTGTGTAAACGGGGCTTGTACCTGGTCATTACAGGAGGGCCCCAACTCCCCTGGGTCCCTGGAGCCATGCAGGCTACTGTGCAGAATTTAGTTCTTGAGAACCCGAACCTATCATTATGGATGAGCTGGCCGGAGATGCCTGCCCTGCTCCAGGACTTAGGCCTGCTGCCTCCATCCGGGAAGGCAGGTCCCAGGGCAAAAGGGTGCTGGGACTTCGGAGGAAGACTGCTGCCAGCGAGCTTGGTGACTACTGGGTGGCTGCTCACCCCTTCCTCCCAACAATTTCACAGTAGATGGTCTTTCTATAAACGATGTAGACCTGAAATTCTGGCAGTGCCCGTAAATTTTACTAAGATCTGTACCGAGCGTATGTCTTGAATGCATAAAAACTATACTTTTGCAGGTCCATACATACCCACATTCAAGACCAAAATTTAAGAATGTAGGGAGAACTAATTAGACCCAAAATAATTGTTTGAATAAGAACATTAAGAACATTAGGTTCCTTGAGCCTAGCCTGAAATTTTATACTTCAGCGGAACCAATTTGCTCTCCTTTTGAAATGCCTTGATGTTGGAGGATCTTACTGGGGTACACCCTGTGCTATGGTGAGGGAAGTTCACAATTTGTGCATCATGTGGAAAAAATACCACCCTTGTGGCCCTGCCCGTGGGCTCTGCTGCTGGCCTCTATGAGTGTTCTGGAAGACTCCAGAAGGTTGGGTATTCCAAAGAGGGTAGGAATTAGATCCCTTATGCTTTCTACTACACTTTTCAGACTAAATTCAGCCAAACGGTTGGTACATTTCATTTCTCTAAATACCATGGGCCAGTAATGAATCTTGCATAAATTTTTAGGGATTTGCTCTTTGTAAAATCATAATCTATTGTCTTCTCAAAGATAGCTACTTTAGGATTATTAAAAACTATTTTTTGTTTTCTAAAATTAAAACCTGAAATCAGTTTACTATTGTGAATTATTTCAGAAGTAAATGCACTTAGATCTGTCAGTCAAACCACAGTTGGATTTGATGAAATACAAAAAAAAAAAAAAAAAAAATAGGCCATCAACCAGAGGATGAAGGCTAATACCCTGGCCTGTTGTCTGGGCATATCTTTGGGCAGGGAGAGAATTGTGATTTGGAACTGACAAGTTCTCTTCTGCATGTCCTCCCCCCAACTCTGTCCCCTAGGTCTGTATGCAACTCTGTAACTGTTGGTTATATTCCTATCTTTTTGGTAACTTGTTGACCTCACAATTTACAAGGTGACAACAGAACCAGTGATACTGTATCTATAGAACAACTAATAACAACTAAATAACATTAGATGCCATGATTCTTTTGGTGTTTTTAGGAAAAAAGTCTGATCATGTTTTGAATTTATGTATGTGAGAGAGATTGTTTTTTTTAAAACCTTGCATTGTGGAAAATTTTAAATTTATATGAAAAACACTGTACAAGGAACCCACATATACCCTTCAACAATGCTTTCATCTGTACCCTCTTCCTGGGCTCAGCTGCGGGCCCTGTGTGTTCTGATAAACTCTAAAAGGATGAGTATTCCAAGCAACATAGGAATTAGATCCTTCATGGTCCCTAATTCATTTGTCAGATTAAATTCTCTTATTATTTTGAAGCAAATCTCAGGCATCACATATTTCATCTGCAAATATTTCAATGTGTATATATTTAAGTCTATCTGTCTATATAACCAGCATAGAGAGATAGCGTAGAAGTGACCAGGAAGACTTAAGAGCTTCCCCCTGCACTTCTAACCTTTTATTATGAATAACTTTAAAATCTCAACCAATGTAGAAGAGTGTAAAACCCCCGTTTACCCATCCCCGGCTTCAGTAGCTAACACACGGCCACTCTATACCCAACACCACTCCCCTTTTTAACACCCGTTGGATTATTTTAAGGCAAATTCCAGGTATCATAACTTCAGCCATGAAATATTTTAGTATATATCCCTAAAATAAAGGGGCTTAATAGCACATTGCAATTAATTCGAAGATAGCTAAACTAAGGGTTTTATGAAAAAAGTTGAAAGATTCTGACTTGAGGACTGCAGAATTTTTAAAAAAAACTTTGAAATATAATTCACATGCCATACATTTCATCTATTTAAAGTGTACCATTCAGTGGTTTTTAGTAAATTCAGAGTTGTGTAACTGTCACTACAATCAATTTTAGAAAATTTTCATCACCCCAAAAAGTTATTAGCCATTACTCCCCATTCTCTCCATCCTCCCTTCCCCAGGCACCCACTGATTAACCTACTTTCTGGCTCTATAGATTTGCTGATTTTGGACATTTCATATAAATGGGATCATATAATATGTGGTCTTCTATGACTGGCTTCATTCACTTAGCATGTTTTCAAGGTTCATCCATGTTGTGGCATGTATGAATATTTCATTCTTGTTTATTCCCAAATGATATTCCATCGTATGGGCATGCATGTTTATTTATCCACTCAGAAGTTTTATTAGCATATGAAACTAGGTGGTTGTGTGGACGTGCCAGCTGAAGTCTAAGGTTACTTCAGACCCACTTAGGAACACACTAGAAGAATATCCTCATATTTAAACTTTGAATGACTCTTAGGCACTTTAGCCTATTATATCAACTAAAGTGGAAAATCTTCTTTTGGCTTCACTAAAAATTTTGCTTATATATTTGTTACAAAATTAGGTTTAAGAGACAAATATATTCGTTTTAAAGGACTATTTTGTTAAACATGGTATAGTTTAAGGATATTTTTCTATATGTGCCTTTCTGTAAGAGTTCTCTCCCTGAACCTGAGGTTTTTGAGGCTTATTACTTTTCTCTTAAGGTATATTTTATCTCCTTAAAAAATTTAAGCTTTAACAAGTCCTGTAAAATATCTTTTTACATAGTTTACATTCATACTTTCAGCAACTTGTAGGGAGCATTTTTAATGTACTCTGTATTTTTGAGCACTCTGTAATCATTTGTTTTCCTCCTGTTATCACTAGTTAATGACTCAGTGTGTTATTATTCCCAAAGTTCATGAAACTGAGAGATCAGCCACCTTTAAAAACAACCTGAAGTTTGACTGTTGGTGGGTGGCTAAGTAAGGATCTCAGTATCGGTGTTCAGACGATGCCGTCCTAGCACTCAGCATTGGGGGTGCTTGATTTGGGTATATGTTTAGTTAATATTAATTAGAGTCCACTGGGATTATGGGAGACCCAGCCTACCACACTGCGCTAGATTTAATTAAAGAGTAGACCAAGTTGCGATGGTCTGTCTCTCCTACTTCCAAAATAAAATTCCTGACTTTTATGACATATATGATCCTTGGGAGATATTTCAGGTAAGTGGTGGAGAATTGGTTATTGTTTTTTGTTCTCTTCTCTGGGTACCCTCCTGTCCTTTTTATCTACATACATTTATGTCTCTCTGCTTTAAGTCACTGATCTAAATTCATGATCACCCCTCCATTGAGTACATGATTCTCCAGCAAGATTCTACTTTCATATAAAGGGACAGACACTGGTGAACTTTAGGGTTTTAAAACAGTTTTAAAACTTAAAAAAAATTGCAATGACTAAACATAAAACAGAATGAATGGGCCAAGGGAGAAACTAATGTAAAAATTCTGAAGTTTCTACCAGTTAAACAACAGTAAATATATATTTTCTATCATACTAATCAAATATTACTTTAATATTAAAGGGATATTTCAAATATAATTTGGGGGATGAATTTTTTTGATTTTCTTTGGTCTTTTATTTGCATAACAGCAGAATCACATGTGTGGGTTCTGTGCCTTGAGCAAGTCATTGAGCCTCTGGGCATCAGTTACTCATCTGTAAAATGGGTGGGATGATTCTGGTCTCAGGACTGATTTCAGGAGGGTGTAATTAGAGAACATACAGGAGAGTGCTTTGATGATGAGGAGGACCTAGCACCAGGCCAGGCACATGCTGGAACCTCTGTCAATGTGTATGTGTGTGTGTGTGTGTGTGTGTGTTTAAATTTTAAAGTATTATGGGAGTAAAGATGTTTTTGGTTACAAGGATTGCTTGAGTCAAGGTTTTAAGTGTGTCCGTCACCCAGTTAGTGTTCATTGTACCGATTAAGTAGGTTTTCGCCCATCCCCTCCTCCTCCCTCCCCCCGATTGGTTTCCATTGAGTTTTACTTCCCTCTGTGCACTTGTGTTCTCATCAGTTAGTTCCAGTTTAATAGTGAGTACATATGGTGTTTGTTTTTCCATTCTTTAGATACTTCACGTAGGATAATGGTCTCCAGTTCCATCCAAATTGTTGTAAAAGGTATTAAGTCATCCTTCTTCACGGCTGAGTACTATTCCATGGTATACATATACCACATTTTGTTAATCCACTCATGAATTGATGGGCATTTGGGTTTATTCCACATCTTGGCAATTGTGAATTGTGCTGCAGTAAATAATTGAGTGCTGGTGCCTTTTTGATAAAATGACTTATTTTCCTTTGGGTAAATACCCAGTAGTGGGATTGCTGGATTGAATGGTAGGTCTACTTTTAGTTCTTTGAGGAATCTCCATACTGTTTTCCGTAGAGGTTGTTTCAAGGAATGTTTTTATGGGGGACTCATCATCCATCTCCATCAATGTTTTTTAAACATCAAGGCAATATTTAATCAAAATAAAGTGAACAGGCCACTTTTTTTTAGGACATTGCGGCAACCATCACATATGTGTTAGAAATCTTCAATTGCCCACTTTCTCAGTTTTTTTAATGAGTCATGCTAGATAGGGAAGAATCACACACACACACACATACACACACACACACGCACACTTTTTTTTTTTCAGTTGCTAGTGTAAAAGCTATAGGGCAAGATAGGTTGTTTAGATTTTTGATAAATTATTTTGTGCTTATTTTTGGGGTAAACATGGAACATTTACAACATGGCTCTTTTAATCTCCATGTTTAGATATGGCAGCTTTTGACAAATGATCCAGAACATTTTTGCCCTGAGGCATGTTAATGGATTAGCAAAGGAAAATAGGGCAGTAGAATTATAAGCTTTTGATCTTAATGATTTGATTTTTAAGCTGGAAAATTAAGGCACATTAACCATATATAGTGGGTAACAACCACTCTCGCCTGGAGTATCTCAGAGCCCTTTTTTGCAACATCAGAAAAAAAGGCCTCTGCTTTTTCCTATAAACTGCAAGGAATGGGTTTACAAGTGAGTGAAACAAAAATTGTAATAAATCTCATTATAATAATATAGAGAGAGTTTGGTGTTAGAAAATAGGTTCTCGCCTGTTCATTTAGGGCAAGTTGCATCTTGCGCTGGGTGGAAAGAATGTTGATAGAGTTGCTTTTTGCTACTGGTGTATTCCTTTTGGAAGCACAGGGAATGTGTTTAGGTTTACATTGTTAGCTCTGAGCAAGTGCATCTTCTATTTCGGGTCTCCATTCATTCATTCGCTCTTGCCATAACTGACTGAGTGCCTTCTAAGAGCCTTTTGTGGTACTTAAGTGAGTGCTCACAGGCCCAAGCCCTGAGATAGACAATTACATATGTACCACTAGCATCATGGTGTAATGGGAGCCATGAAAGACCATTGTTAAGGGACTTTCTTGACTCCCTGCTGATGGAGTTCCAGTTCTTGCTGTCACTGAGGGAGGTGGAGGCATTGTATACTCTGCCACCTTCTTTTCTCCCTCCCTCAACCCCTTTCCCCATTTGTGACTTCTACCCTCCTTCAGATGAAATGTGAGCCTCATTCCCTAAGTCTTGAGCTCTTAAAAGATTCATCCCCAGCTGCAGCACCTCTGTTCCCACCATTCCAAAGGCTGCTCACCTGCCAACCCTGTTTCCTGTTTGCCTGTGTCCCCCTCACCACTCACAGCGTTCCCCAAGTGCCTCGGGGCTTCATTGGGCTTGAAGAGAGGGAGAAATTGAGTAAAGGCAGGTGTGTGCCTTTGTTGCAGGGTTTGGGAATGAGGAGGATGCAGCTATAGCTCCCACCTAGAACTGGAATGTAGTTTTTTAAAGCATCCCTATGAAGAAGAGTGGTTTATAAAAATCCCACTGGGATTTAACCTGGGTTTGTGCTGAGACTATAAAACAGTTCAAATGGAAATGGCATCCTTAAATAGTCTGTCTTCCAATCCATGAACTTGGTATATGTCTTGACTTATTTGAGTCTTCATTTAATGTTGTTCAGTATGCTTTATATTTTTCCCCACTGAGGTCTTAAGTATCTTTGTCATGTATATTTTGAGATTATTGCTATTTCTTATTTGTCATATATATTTTATACATATTTTTAAAATTACAGTTTCTATAGTTTGTTGCTACTATATGCAAACAAAATACCACCTCCCAAAGGAAAATATAAAGATAGCTTATTCTTTTGTTTCAGACACCCTTTATTTGAAATAACAGTTGTATCTGTCATGATCTATTAAAATAAAAAATATAAATACCTTTCAACTTAGAAACCCTACTCTTGGAACTTTATGCAACATAAATAAATGCACTTGTTTTTAAAGACATATGTTCATGGATGTTTACTGCAGCATTGTTTGTGAGGGTAAAAAATTGGAAATAGAGTGGATGCCCGTGAATATGGGAATGACTGAATACATTAGATACAGCCATACAAAGGAATGTTATGTAGCCATTAAATTGCATGAATTAGAGCTATTCCAGTGGACATGAAGTGATTTCCATGAAATATTTATTTAGAGAGAAAAGGAAGAGGCAGGAAATTATGTCTTTTATGACCCATTTTTTACAAAAATCACACGCCTGTGCATGTGTATATATACACATGTACCTATAAGTATAGTGATAAAAATTTAGAGAAAAATATACATTTACAAAATATGTAAACCTGTTAGCTTGCTGACATAGAGGAGGGTGGGGTGATGTGCTTTGGTAAAAGAGATAGGAAGGATAGTTGAGGCATATCACTATTTTATGGGTTTTTATGCCCTGTGCCGGACACCTCCCTTTAATATTGTTTTAGTGGAAAAAATATATTTCAAAAAGCTGCACCACAAGGTTCTGTATTAAGGGAGATCCATGGCATAAATATCAAACACTAACTGATAATTCACATCATATTTATTTTTGACTAAGGTGGGCATTTTGTTTTTCCCCCAAGGGCAGTCAAATTTTCAGTTATGTTTTCATAAAAACAGCCTGCATTTCCTCAGCAAAGTCCAGCGGGCAGCAGAGCTGGCAGGCGGGAAGCACACGCACATGTGGACACACACGTGCACGCACAGACATGTGCACACGCATACACACACGTACACACAAGCACATGTGCCTGTATCCTGGATCGCAAGTTTCAGAGGGGCCACTGTCATCACAGTGAGGTAAACCTTTTGAGCTAGAAGAAACCCACAGATGGTTTCCAGCAGCTGCTCACCTGCCTATGATATAGATTTATGATACCATTTATCCTTACAGGTGATACTTTCTGGAATCATAGGATTAACAACTTGGAAAAGGCCTATGATACTCCTGGTATGTACTGATCTTATAAATTGTAACCCTATATAAAATGTGCTATGTATGAAGTCTGTTTAAATAAACCGTTGAAGCAATGCTTAAGCTTCCATTGTTCATTAAAAAAATAAGTTAACAGTGGACAATATTAGAAGTCATATGATCTCATAACACTAAATTAAGGTGCTAATTTTGCTGGTTTTCTGATTCACCTTAAGCTTCTTAGGTACCCAGTGCTATGCATATGTTTCTAGCTCAAGGATTAGACTCAATCTAAAAATATAATTTTTTATAAAACTCTTTACTATGGACAGTTTTAAACATATGCAAAAATGGGGGGAATAATATAATGAACTCCCTGTACCCATCATCCTGCTTCAACAGTTATTAACTTACAGCCAGTATGTTCAGCTCTATCTATCCATTTCCCCCCTGTATGCTTTTTTCTTCCTTATTATTTTGAATCAAATCTCAGATATTAATCATGAATATGACTTTTTATTATTATAATGTTTTGGTTGGACAACCTCAGAATTTTGTTGCTTAGATTTGCTATATTGTCCATCACATACATAAATACAGACATGTTACTGGTGACTTTATTCTTTTTTTGTTGTTATTAAGGCAAAATTCACATAAAGTGAGCCATTTTAAAGTGTATAATTCAGTGGCATTTTTAGTACATTCCCAATGTTCATCCTTTGTTTTTATTTGCTCTGTCATTTTGATTCAGGGAATACTATAAAAAATAAACAATCGCTGATGGAGTTTTCAACTTTCGAGGATACAATAGAGGGTCTAGGAAATTCCATTTGAATTGAAGTATACTTAAAATTTTTTTTCTGTATAACATCTCTTCTTTTTATTTTTCTCTCATTCATCTTGAAATGGGGTTAAATAATTTTCTTATGTCATTTTGTGTATATACTTAATAGTTCATCTTAAACAGACCACTGTTTGTTAGGCTCAATGGGTAATCAATACAAAACTACTTACATTCTTAATTACAAGAAGAAGCAGCACATTGTATTATAGAATCGTTGAATTTCAGAATAATGGATCCCAATACTGTGCTGATGGTCTTGAAAAACTAAACTAAAGTGTTTTCAGGCCCACAAGATGACATAGGCAATATTTTACAACTCCATCAATGATAACATTGAGCAAAAATCCTTCAGTAATTTTTGGAAAGAGTAAATTATCAATGTACCATTTTAATATATTAGATAACAGAATAGGAGAGAATGAGGCTTTGGGTGAGTTTTATGGCCTGTGTTGTAAGTGGTTGAGGTTTGTTTTACAACAACTCTGTAGGTTTACAGTCTCTGCAGAAAAATTTTGGATGGTGTTCAATGTTTATACTAAGACCTGATTATAGGAATTACCTTTGCACTATCTTTTCCCATTGGATGATATTAAAATACTCAGAAATATAAATCTCAAGCATTTAAATTGAATTAAAATAAGAAAATCTCTAATGATATTTGTACTTTGGAAATTCTAAATGGTGAAGAGAATATGAGCATGTGTGTTCTTAGGTAGAGTTTAAGAAAGTCCACCTTTTAAGACATTTATTTCTTTAACATTGTTTCGTTTTGGAAATGTGCCTTATATATTTATTATGTGAGCTTAAGCAACTTTAAATGAAAATGACCCTATCTTTATTGCATTCCTTTCAATTTATTTCTCATCTTTGTTGGTAAGTATATGTACTTCGTCACAAAGTTGTAACCAGTGTATACGTACTATGTTGTACTCTGCTTTTTCTGTTTAACATTAAATTAATCAAGTTAATATCAGTTATTATTATGTTTCCATGTATAAGGAGTCTACATTTAATATCACTAAGCAGCCTTCTGCCGTATTTTCTGTATCGTCTTCAGTTTTTATCCTGTTGTTGGACATTTGAGCTTCTATATTTTGGCTGCCATGAATTGTGTATTATAAAGGTCATATAGAGATTGTTTTGAAATGTTAATCTGCATCAATTTATAAAGAAGATAAATTAATTTTTTAGGAACTGTGCAAGGAAAACTTTTCTGAGTCTATCAAAAATCATTTGAGCCTTAGTATCATAAATGAAAAATCATCAGTTCATATGAATCTTAGTAGTATATACCATTATAACCTGTGCCAAATATTTTGTTAACAAAGGAAAAAATTACATGATAAAATGAAAGAAACTAGGCGTGCCAGTCAGATTCTTCTAGTCCATCCTCTTAAGAGCCGTGTAACTGTGTGCAAGCCACTTAACTTTTCTGAGTCTAGTTTTCTTTTCTGCACACAGGGGTAATTTAGTGATAATTTAGTGATACTGTTGAAGATCTGGCTCTACGACATCCCTCCCTTAGTGGATATTTTTCTTCTTTCCTTCTTTCCTCTCCTCCTCCTCCTTCTTCTTCCCTCCCTCCTTCTTTCTTCCTTCTTCCTTCTTTCTTCTTCTTCCCAATCCCCTTTCCCTGAGCTTCCTGAGTTTAGGGAATGTGCCATTGGATGAGTTTTTGGTGAGAAGCTGTGTTCCCCTAGAGAAGCCAGAGGGCCCTGTGGGCTGTGTTCTTACAGACCAGGCTTGGCTGAGCAGAGCTCTGTTCCCCTCTCCTTCACAACCCATGCTGTAGGCACAGTGGCATCTTCTCACTTGGGACTTTCTTCTCCTAGCTGGTTGCTTGGCTGGCTCCTTCTCTTCTCCCTTTCAGCTCAGGAGTCACTTCCTGAGAGAGGCCATTCCTGACCATCCTGATTGCAGTGGTCTGTAGTACCTGCCCTTTCCATAGCTTAGCAATGAAGCTGTTGGGTCCACAGGATATGATTAGCCTATGTACTTGTTCTTTACTATTTGCCGTCTGTCTCCCCCAGGAGAGAGAGAGTTCCATGAGGACAAGTACCTTGTCTCTTTACCCCCTGTCTCTAGAGCCAATGTGCTCGATGTACGTTTGTTGCTGACTGTGGAGTTAATTTGTCAGCAATAAGAAATTTAGGTCCTGGGTGAGTTCTCCAAGTTTCTCTTTTACTTTTGTCTTAAGTTTCTCTCACTTGCTTTTGTTTTCTAAAACTTGAATTTGTACCCTTTGAACTTCAGGGTTGTTAGGGAGTGTTTTGGTGCTGGAGCTAGGGAGGGGGAAGGATGGTCTTTGTCAGGGCCATTTGAGAGGCAAGCTGTCCTCATTTTGAGCTGCTGGGTGCACACCAGTCTAGAACACGTGGATATTCCCTTTTGAGAACCATTTACAGTTGTGCTGCCTCTTTTGTGATTGTTGCTGTGATTACCCCAGGTTTTTATTGGTTTGAACAAAGAAGGATCAGTTTGACCTGGTTCCTTGAAACTCAAGTTTGCGTGGAAACTCAGAGTTGAAAGCTTTCCTTCACTCTCTCTTCTACTGATAAGCATAGTCATGTGTTCAGAACAAAAATTATACTATTGGAAAGTAGTTTGTAAATATTTATAGCTATTTATGGCTATGGCTAGGATTAAGTGAAGGAGTATGCGCGCGTGTGTGTGTAGTATTCTAGGTTGTGTATTTTCCATAAAAAGCTAACATTTTCTGCCAGGCATGGTGGCTCATGCCTGTAATCCTAACACTCTGGGAGCCAAGACAGGAGGATCACTTGAAACTGGGAGTTTAAGACCAGCCTGAATGACACAGCGAGACCCCATCTCTACAAAAAAATAGAAAAATCAGCCAGGCGTGGTGGTGCGTGCCTGTAGTCTCAGTTACTCAAGAGACTGAGGCAGGAGGATCACTTGAGCCCAGGAGTTGGAGGGGGAGGGGAAAACTAATATTTTCCATTTTTAAAGTATGTTTTTATTTCTTCTGGACATCATTCCTTTTTCATTCTAATACAATATTTGTGTTTATAAATCACATACAGTGCTGGAAACGGCCTCAAAGATTGTCTGGTCTACGCACCTCAGTTAGAAAACAGAATTGTCTTAATAAGCTATTTCTCTTATTTTTCTTTGGTGGCATAGGTATTTTTTGTGGCAGGTATAATATTTTTCTTTCGTGGTACATTTAGTAAGAATCACCACTGTGAAAGTCCAGCTGGCCCACTGCCTATGATTGTGGTTGCTTATGAAGTGGTAATTTGAGCTATTGCTATTTTTTTTCTTGTCAGTTAGGAACAGATGGGATGATATAACCTAGAAAGGACAGCTCTATTCTTCGGCATCAAGAATGAAGGTTCTTCCCCAATGATGTGCTTGTGTCGCATGTGATTTATTCTCAAGTGCGGATCCTGTTGATTTGCACCCCAGACCAAGAGTAGAAGGGGGTAAATACACTGGCTGATTTTAAAATGGTCCTTCAGTTTCTTTTCTAACTTCAAGATTATCGTATTTGGAATATAGAACCTCATTACCCAAAGAGACTAAAAAATGGCTTAAGATATACATAATTCTTTTTTCTTCATCTCACAGTCCAAGTAGGCTAGGCTGGTAATAGTTCTGCTCCGCAAAGTTCCAGCAGGTTCTTTCACATACATTTTTATAGATTAGGGCACAGTAGCTCAGGAGTTAACTGGCTTGTCCAGTTCACGATCAGGTGATCTATTATGAGAAAGAACCCAGGAGTTTCAGCTCCTAGTTTAGTGCTTCTTCCATTGTAACATTTCACACATCTTCCATTAGCAAATTGGTAGGTACTTCGCTGTGGCCAACAATGGCTTCTTCTTTTTTTTTTAGTGTGAAATATAAGTTAAATAAGTTCTTTTCTTATTTGTGACTGTCCAGTTCTTTTTCAAGATCCGAAGTGACAAAATTTTGGGGAATTTTAACCTTCGCTTAGAAAATCCAGAAGCAGAAATGACCAAGGCTACACAAGGTCCAGTGTTCAGTCTCAGTCCTGTCCATTTCAATCAGTGAGTGGCCACAGAAACAAATCTAATCGGTTCCATTATTCGTACAATGGGTATACAGCCATCCCTCAGGACTGTAATGAGGAACAAGACATAAATGCTCATTGAAACTGTAAAATGGGATCTCAGGCTAGACAAGCACTTTATGAATTATGTTTTATCAC